ATAGTTAAAGAAAAGATATTCCTCTTTCTGACTAAGTATATGAATATGTAGAAGTGATAAAATGACGAATTTCAGTCTGTTTGCATTTATATAATATTTTTATTTTATGTTTTCGTCCAATCACACGTTTATATTTTAGTAGTCACTAAATTAGTATTTTCTTTTACTAGATGACGATGAATTTTTTCGTTCTATTATTCAAGCGAATATGTATCTATCACTTGCACAGAAGTAAAAATGTCCTTGACTTGATCGGCTGGCTGATATAATAATACGATCATTAATTCAAACGATTGAATTTACTGAATATTCTTATTCGATACTACTTTTTAACTGTAAAAATAGAAAATCTTTGTTAGATATGCGTTTCACTCTCGCATCCAATTGAAAATATTATTTATTATATTGTTTTTCAACAAAGAAAATTAAGAGCTGAATATCAGAAAAATTGTAGATATCATTCTGATAGAAAAAATCTGTTATTAGTAAGTTTCATGAAAGGCTTATCTATAGAATATAGCACCTGTAGCAGAGCCCGTCGGTTCCAAAATTTTTAGACCGGGACCCGGCTGAACCGTGCTTTGATACTCTCAATGAAATTTTCTAATCGGAATTGGATAGTCGTTTTGATGATACCTTTTTCTGACTTTTAACGTTTTGTGATTTACACACTCTATACATTTCTCAAACGACTAGAACCCATCAAGTCCAAAGGTTTTGGATCTGAACCTGATTAACAGAAAAAATTTAGATTAGAATCTGGTTGAGTTCAACCGGACGGGCTCTAACTGTTAGTCAAAGACAAACTGTTAACAAAAATCGATGATTGAGAGAATTCAGTAGGAATAGAATTAGAAAAAGTAATTGTTGATGAACAAAGAAAGCTAGGCAAGGACATTTTGTTGAAGATAAAGAGTTTATTAAGGTAATCACAATTTTATTTTTTTTTTTTTTGTTTTGCTTTATATATTTCCTGTTCATGGCACAAATCTTTTAGCCAATGGAAGAATTACATGAAATATTCAAAAAAGGGTGGGGATCTCTAGTACTATCGTAATTTATGCTATATACGATCGTTTACGCCGATTGTAATGCTCATTCTCGGTGAGTGCGATGATTATAAGAATGTGTGAATGTGAATGAAATGAAAACCCATTCGAACCCACATCCGCCGCGTCGACGTGTGATTCTATACGGATAAAAAAACCTACTGATAAAATCTTTCTTTTTTTACTTCTAATTATATATAATAAACTAACCATTTTGTAATTAAATATTTTTACTGACTACTTAAAACCACGACGTAAACTTTAATACTCTGAGTTTTTTATTAAATTTCTTGGAATTTGAGACAAGCGACATCTAAATATTTGATACGATGTGGAACAAGTAACCAATCATGTTTATGTTTCTGTTGTTTCGATTGTGCAACTTTTAATAATTACTGAGCGTAACGATGTAAATTACGAAATTACTCGATATAAATTTCATCTTTTTTTTGGATCGATGTCTTTTACTATAAATAATAAAAATGGCATCATCATTACCGAAGAAAAATTTCAGCTCATCAAAAGATCATGTAAAACTTTGTTTTCAAAAATACTTCATTAATTATTTCTTTATTATTTAAAATAGACTGATGATCTTGAGTGGACTAAAGATATCAATACTAATTCGTTTTTAACTGAAGAACGACGTCTTCGTAGTTCTAAACAATGTTCAGTGAAAAATCCTACTACTAATCAAATGTCTCAAAAACGTTTAAATAAATTTAATATTCGTGTTAATCAAATGACACCTGAACAACTTGATGAGGAACTAAAAAAACGACAATTATCAACAAGGTAATGAAAAATAAAAATAAAAAAAAGCCTAAAATTCATTATTTCAAATTTTTTTCTTATTTTATAATAATTAGCGGTGAAATTGAAATTCGACGTTTTCGTTTGAAACATTATTATAAATGTGAATTAATATCTGGAGGTGAAAATCCATTAAAAATGATAGAACAACATTTTGAATATATTGCTGTTGTTGATTTTGAAGCAACATGTGAAGAAAAAGGAGACAATAGTTATCAACATGAAATAATTGAATTTCCAATTGTATTAATTAATGTACAACAACAAATTATTGTAAATTATTTTAATTAATTAAATTAATGAAAAAAAAAACAAAAGATTCGTTTTTATTTTTTCGATTAGGTCGATAAATTTCACTCATATTGTCGACCGATAATCAAACCAATTTTATCGAAATTTTGTACAGAATTAACGGGTATTGAACAAGTATGTATTTAAAAAATTTCTCTATATACACAAAGTTTCAGATCAAAATTCAATAGCCGAGTCAAATATCAACAGGAATCCAAATGCGTTTAGGATTTTTATTAGAACACTATGTAGTATCTATAGGCCAAACAAATTATTGAATTCAGAAGAAGGGTACCTGAAGAGATTCTTTCATAAGCTAAGGTTCAAAAGATTCAAATCCACGGTCTACTAATAACGAGTCATGGTTGCTTTAATGCAATATTTACCAAGAGTTTCAACTGAAAGTTAGATCTATATATACGTTCAGTAGACATTAAATAGTCTTGAAAGTTTCATCGAAAACGAACATGTCTTTCTCGAAATATGCGATGTCAAAAAAAAATAGCGGCGGTTTACCATTGAAGAAAACCATGGTCGAGTCTACTTCAAAATTGAATACCTCGAGAAAGAATTGTTTGTTTTCGTTGAACCTTTCAGAACTATCAAATGTACCTATTGGCAAAATTTCAAATCGAAACTTTTTGTGTTGGATTTTTCGGAAATGCCTTGCTCTCAGAAAGAATTGCATTAAAACGTTCATGATTGTTTATTAGCAGACCATGGGTCTAAACCTTTCTAAGCTTGACTTTGTTCCACTGAGACTTACTTGTAGCCATTATATGAAGTCGAATGATGTTCAACAATTGAAGAGGTTCTCTCGTAATTTCATCGAAATCTTCTCAAAGCATACACGCAAATTTATCTCATTGTTTATGAATTGTATCAATAATCTGTCGTCCTACAAATATAGAAAGATGTCTGCCTTGGATAACCAACCAGAGAATGATTCGATGAACCGTTTGGTTTAATAAGAGATGAAAAGGAAATTAAAAAAATAATCTAAACCTAAACTCATGAGGATTAGGTTTTTTGATTGACTGTAGAATGTAGTCTAATAACATTGCAGAAATTATCTTTTTGACGTTCTCTGGCATCATTCTCCTACTTTAATTTTCTACCAATGGAAAAATCTTGTGTCATGTGATTCAATAGAATCAAAAGATTCGTCTTCAGATAGGCAAAAATGGTCCAAACGATTCAGATTCATGTCTAGCCTTACATTCATTTGTGTGTGTGTGTGCGCTTAACTTTTTGTTGCTGAAGTTTTCTTGTGCTTATCGTTTCTGTGCTCATCGTTCGCCAATCCAATTAAATAAGAGATTCTTATAACTCTATTGGAAGAAAAAAGGAACAATGTATTTTGATACGATCGATCAATATTATACTCAACTGAAGATCGAAATCTTTGTGTAATTAATATTTGACTTTAAAGGGAAGCTAGTTATCGTCTCTTCTTTTTTTTCAGATTTTCAAAGAAAAATATTGGAAAAATACACTGACAAGGAAATATTTTCAACTTGTCAATTGCTTTTCGCTTGAGATCTTTGCTTGCTGAATCATGAAAGTTTCACTCGGTTTTTGTTCTATGAGCATAGAATCGCTGAGATGCTGGATAATCAAATTTCAAGCTAAGATTTCGTCCACAGACACACCTTATACTCACTAGAAACGTTCCAAGTTTTGAATCAGTTTTTTTTAACTCAAACTTTAGGATGTTTATCATAACTACAATTTCTGTTTATGAAGAAAATTTCAGCTCGAAATTTGATCATACAGGTTCTTAATGATTCTATACTCATAGGGCGAAAATCGAGTAGAATGTCCATAGCTCAACAAGCAAAGACCAGAAAGCTAAACTAGACTATAGGTTTTTTACTACTTATTTTGACCGATCGAAAGTGAAATAGTCTCACGAGGGTGCCTTCCCAACTTAAAAACATCTTTTGAATCATAGATAGGCATACTTGTAAATAGAATGTCCGGAAAATTTCAACGTAAAACAACGCTCCCTTCATGAGATATTGAATTCCTAAAACTCATTTGTATTCCACGAAAGATTTAAGAATCTCAGTTTTTTTTTAATTTGGGAATTCAATATCTCATGAAGAGAACATTCTCGTGAGCTGAAATTTTCAGGGCATTCTATTTACAAACAGGTCTATCTATAGGCAAAATTTCAGTAAAATGTCCGTAACTCTATAGGAATGTCCTAGGTGACCTCATCCTTTTATGATTTTTAATGCTTCAATAAGATCTACGTTATGCACAGTATCCGAACTCAAACGAGTTTTTCAAGTTAGGATAACTCATTCAGATTGGATTACTTTTGAGGAAAATGTAATTTTTTGCACAGCCTCTGGGAGACTACAGAGTTAGAAAAATCGATTAAGAGATATCATGAAAGCCATATGTCCTTGAACAAACTATATATCTGAGGGAATTATTAGAAAAATCAGTTTTGTGGAATGGAACTGTTCTAATTGTGTTACTGCGTAGAGCAGGTTGAGATATATGTAAGATAAAGTTTTCACACATGTAGGACAAACCGTTCCCGAGAAATCGATCCTTTCTGAATGTGTAGTGTTAGCATATAGGAAAGTAGGACGGATTATGTTTAGAACAGATGTAAAAAATTCGATTGTGCAGTTCACTATCACGTTTCTCTCATACAACGAATCATGAGAAAAGAAAAGAAATAGATCAGTTGCGAGTTGGTTCAAAATAATCATGTATATATACGTGATCTATCTTGAAAGGATTAAGATATACAAGTCATAGCGCATCGGTCTACTGGTTTTTTTTAATGGAATTTTCTTTTTGATTTTTTATTATCTATTAATATATTTCTGACAAAAAAAAGTCTTCTTTAGCATCAAGTAGATAATGCTCCTCCGTTTGTTGAAGTTCTTCATAATGTTGACACATGGTTAAATGAACGAAATCTTTTATCATCATTAAATAAACGTAAATTAGCATTTGCTACTGATGGGTATTAAATAAAAATTGGTATTTTTTTTTCTTCGTATAATATTATCTTTTTTTTGTATGTTAGCCCATGGGATTTTGCGAAATTTCTTCAAATGCAATGCCATTTGAGTTCAATAGATTATCCACGATGGGCTAAAGAGTGGATTAATATTCGAAAAGAATTTGCTAAATTTTATCCCGTACGACGATGTGGTATAAAATCAATATATAAATTCTTGTTTTCTTTATTATAATATTTGGATTTTTGAGGTATTGAACAAATGTTGAAAAATCTTGGTCTTAGTTTTGATGGTCGTCGTCATTCAGGTATTGATGATGCAATCAATATAGCACGAATAACTTTGGAATTAATGAAGGTTTGTCGTTTATAAAATGATATTGACTTAATAAATGCCTTCATTTTCTTTTAGGATGGTTGTGTTTTATTATTCAATGATGATATACATGCATCTGATCCAAAATTTGCAGCATTGAATGAGAAAAAAACAGAATTTAATAAGAATACTGATGATGAAAATGATCTAATTGTTTTTGAAGATTAAACGATATTAAGTTTTTTTTTCTTGTCTAATAAAATTTTTTATGTATGAATTAACAAAAAACAAACAAGTTTTCTAATACAAATGTTTTTAGAATCAAAATCTTTATAATATTTTGATTGAATTCAGTTGGCAGATTTATCATTAATAGATATTAATAAGGATAATAGAGTTTATATATCTAAAAATTTTATTAATCGGATCAATGCTTCATCTTATATCGAATTAAAATATAATAATGATAAAGATTCTGAAGAAATAGAAAAGAAAATGCTTACATCTCGAAGAAGTTCTTTTATCTTGTATACTTTTTCATATATATCCTAAATCACAAATTGTTATTATTATTGGTATTAATGAAAATGGTAGTTAGCAGCTTTTCTTTTTGGCCATTTCTGGTTCTTGAAGAAGTTACAACCGACTCTCATGAAATTTTTACCGCAGATAGAGCACTCGACTAAAGAAACTCATGTTCAAGGAAAAAAATTTTAAATGATCTTTTCACAGTCTCCTGGAAAACCTTTGTTTTCAGTAGAACCGCATTGGGCCTGCTTACGAATTCCATCTAACTTTGTCCAAATGGACTAAAACTCCGACCACAAATACTTGGAAGTATTCTCCAGAGGTGACATCGGCCGTTTTCGTTTTTGACCTTTCTATCTGGGTTTATAGAGCATTGAACACCAGTTCCCCGGATTTTGGATCTGAACCTTTATGCATTTCTCTCATAAGACAAAAAAAGCGAGATTTTTGAAAAACCTTAAAATTATCTTTGATAATTCCTAAGGAAAATCAGAGTTTCTAGAAAAAAGTCGCGAGAAAACCTTGTTTAAAATTTTTTCCTCGAACATGTGCCTCTTCATCTTAGGTGCTCTATCTGTGGTAATAATTTCATGCAGATCGGTTGTATTCTCTTCGAGAGCCAGCAACGACTAAAAACAAAAAAGGGAGGTACTCTTAATGCATTCACAGATGAAGGCGTTAAATAATGTCAATTGTTACATAAAGCCAACTGTAAAGTGGTTATTAGTAATCTTAGATCAAAGGATAATTTCAATGAATCACAAGGTGTCTGTGGAGGACGAGTTGGGTCCGAATTTTTACCTCTATACTTCAACATTTCTTTTAGATCGTGTTTCACGAAAGAAAAAGCATGGAAATTGTCCTTAGAAGAATTTTCTAAAGCATGTAAAGAAACACATTCCAGAATATTTATCAAGCATTGTTGTTTTTAACAGTTTATTTTTGATCGATTATATTAAAACGATTGAATCAGGAAATAGTAATCAAACTCATAGGAACTCTAAAAAACATGTGTTTTAGAATTTTACTATAAATTTCTATATTCATTTTGATGTTAAACAAAACAAGGGCAAGGACAAGATCGAGACTAACAGTGTAATGCTAGCCTGACAGTCAGAGCTGTGTTTTCGGGACTATTTCTTCGCTTCAGTAGAATTAGGCTGTGTGACCTGCTGCCATTAGATAAATCAATAGTTTTAATAAATTCTCGAAAAATGAATTCTCGTCGCAACCACCTAATTATACGAAAAGACAAATTTTTGCGCATAATCTACCTCAGTTTTTGAAAAACATGGTATGCTAATAGAAAGCATCCCAAACATCTAGTACGTGATTATCTGTATTATACAACGAAGAATATTCATGTTGTCAACTATGCGTTTTCGAAGTATGATCGACATTTTTTGATTGTGCTGGTATTTAAAAAAATAAAATAAGTACTTTTATCACTTTGCGTATTAAACAAAAAATGACTGTGAACGATAAGATATAACAGAAGACTTCAAATACACCCATCCTCTAAATGAATCAAGAAAATTTTTGATGAAAAGTTCGTTAGTCTAGAAAACCAGTATATGAAAAACCTAAGGAGATTTCCCATAATCCTATTCGAAATCATCATGACCGATAACTTACAATCCATTAGCTTTCGATGAAAAAGCAATTGATCTGTTGAAAACGCTTCTTCGTGAGTTTATAGATTTTTGTCTACTCGACTATTTACAAAGTACATTTTCTTTATAAAAATTTACAATATTGAATAAATTTGTATGAAGAATACGTTTTTGTTTTTATTCATATTTAGAATGTATGATCGATAAAAATCAATTTACTTTAATCAATTTAGACAAGCAATAGTTTTACATCCGTCACTTCAGTCAAACTCAACAGTAACTGGAGAATTAATTGTATAATTTTCTTTGTTCAAATATAATTTTTAAGAAATAAAATATTCCAAATCATGTATAAATAAAACTAATCTGATATATTTAGATTAATACATTTGATATAACTAGTTATAGTAAAAGAAAATATATCTTATTCAACAAGATAAACATAAGTGATAGTTTATCTACAAGCTTCCTTGAATTCTCATACCGATTTGACATGAAAGACTATCAATTTACTTGATAATGATGATAATAAACGTAATAAATGGTTTCATATTACAATAGACAAAATGATTGAAAAGCTTGTTTCTATTAAAATTTAATCGAATAAGAAAATCTATTCGATACTTTTTCTTTTCCTTTTTTTTTTGATCAAATTTGTTTATATGATACAAAAGAAAAAGAAATTAAATTAATCGATACTCTTATCATTATATGATATTTCTGTTATCCATAAATGTTTCTATTCTGAAAATAACCAATGATATATGATAGACGGATGAAAAATACGCGTGCCTGTGAGACAGATGTCTTAAAGGAGAGAACAGCAGTCTATGCAGTTTTTTTAGTTCCTCTCGTCTTCAGAGAATTGCTCGTATTTATTATCAGTTGTTACTGTGATGTTTTCAATTTGTGCGTAAAACGTTTGTCAGTACAGAATGGTATACAAAATTGTAATGCATATATCTACTGTTATTTTCAAAGAAAATGTTTTCAATTTATTAATTATCTACATCGTTTAAGATTGATAACTAGTTTAAAAAAAAATCAATTTTTTGAATGATTAAATGATCATACATATGTCATAAGAGCCAATACATATTTTAGAAATTTACAAAAAAAGAAAAAAAACCTAGAATTGATGAGAAAAATGTCTTTCATATGAAACAGCTATCATTAGAACAAACGTGATAAACAGTATGAAAATACCAGAAATCAGAGAAACCACACATGTATCAATAAATCTCTATTCATTATCTACCGCTGGCAAGTGTGGTACATAGTAAGCATATCAAATGTACTACATTAGCCCGGTGATAGCGAAAAAAGCTTCATAGCTGAAAGATGAGTATCATAAATGGATAGAAGAAAAGAAAAAAAAATTGGTTGACTTCTTTTTTTCTCTTATTCTTTTTAATTTTATATTGTTTTTTAACATTGATTTTAGCAAGAAGAACACGAGCGTATAGCATGATTTTCGTCATACATAACAGAACACAAAAAAAAAAGAAACGTAGTAAAAATAGCAAGTCGTTCTGTTAACCAATCATAAATGATCACTTAACCTCTACATTGAAATTTATTAAAATTTAAAATGAATAAAATAAAATAAAATCAATCGAAATAAATAAGATCTTTTTTCTTTATTAAATAAAAAAAAAAAAATTATATAAATTTTTCATTGCTAACCAATCACAGACTGTTCTTTTTTTTTCCTATCTGTACAATTCTCTTCATACGAGCAGCACTAGAACAAGTTTTTTTTTGCAGAAGAAAAAAACACAAAAACATGTCATCAACTTCATCATCTGATGATGATAATGATGAAAATCGTCTCGATTCAAATGATATTCAATTATTAGCTGTTCAAAAAAGTTTAATTTATAAACATCCATTATTTCGTGTACTTGTTTATGTACTTGAACGATGTGAACAAGCTACATTAAATCCATCATTATTATTAAATAATGATGATTCTTATCAATCATCATCATCATCATCATTTGAACATAATTTAAAAATATTTTTATCAAAAAATCCTGATATATTAACAACATCTAAACATAATAATGATGAAACATCTACAATAATTGATAATTTTTATATTGATGCAATGCAAGTACTTCGTATACATTTACTTGAACTTGATAAAGTTAATGATTTATGTCGAGATTTTTGTCAACGTTATATAGCTTGTCTTAAAGTTAAATTAAATGCAAATAATATTTTTACTGATGATGAAGATGATGAAGATGAAGATTTTCAAGCGAATTTAGATGATAATTTTGAATCAGATGAAGAAAATGATGATGATGACGAATTTATTATTAATGATAAGAATATTTTAAAAGAACAACATTATGTGTAAGATTTTCTATTAGAAAAATTTTCTTTTTCATCACAAATGATATATTATTCTTGATCATAGACGACGGAATTCTTAAGCTTGACAAGGCTGCACTTGGTCTATACTTTTTGAAAGATAGTCTCCAGTAGTATAACCACAGACCGAATAAAAAGTTTCGTTTTTTGAATAACAGTGTAAAGGATAAGTGTACGAGCAAAATTGAGTTATTCATTATTTCGACTAGTTTTTTTTTACAAAACAGTAAGAAGTTTAAGAATATCACAACATTACATAGGTTAAGAAATCTTGCTTAAATTCTTTTCGTACATAAGTCGCTACTGAATTGTTTCCTATTTGTCAAAAAGAATTCAGAATATTTTCAGAGTCATCAGAGCTATCTATGAGCAAAATACGGATATTTGATTTTTCGATAAATACTTAAAGCTCAATCGAAAATTCAGTAAAACGATCATAACACGGCTTCAGAGGCTCATAATCACGAACTCTTTTAGAATTTTTCTAGTCTTACAAACACCTTCTGAGTTCAAACAGTAGGTATGTTTTCTAGGGGAAACTAAAGGATAGTAAAGTGGATCTCTATCTCTTTTTTTTCGAGCTTGCCTTAAATTGACTTTGCTCTGTCGCTGTTAGATATATTTCATTATTTGGAATGTTTACATATTGGTTTTCGTACTTCCTAGATTTAGTCGAATCTGTCTGTAAAAGACGAGTATATTTCTTTGAAGATTTTTGGATATTAATATTTTCCATGACAAACTTTAATAAAATCATTTTTTATTTTTAGAAAACAATCACTATTGAATAATGGTTTAAACTCAATTTGTCATCCTTATACAACACAATTCAATGGTCAAACGCCACTTTCACAAATAATTGCTAGTGGTCCATCGCATGAAGTTAATAAATCATCAACATTACTTGATTCATTTTGTACAAAACGACGACAACACTCAACAATTGTTTCATCTCCATCATCATCATCAAAACGTGGTGTTCTTCCTAAAAGTGCAACATCAATAATGCGTAGTTGGCTTTTTCAACATATTGTAAATAATTAATAGTTTTTAATTTCAAAGTTTGTTTTTGTTTTCATTTCAAAAGGTTCATCCTTATCCAACTGAAGATGAAAAACGAGCAATATCACAGAAAACAAATTTATCTTTACTTCAAGTAAATAATTGGTTTATTAACGCACGTCGACGAATTTTACAACCAATGCTTGAAGCATCGAATCCTGATTTAGCAGCTAATAAAAAGAAAAAACGATATGAAACAACATCTGATGATCATCATCATACTCATGCTCGACAAATATCAAATATAAATCGTTATTGGCCATCAAATTTAGCTCAATTTAATACAACAACAAGAAATCCACGTGAAAAATAAGCGCGTTTTTTTTTACACAGTATCTTATACATCTAAGCTTTGATTTTAATATTCTTTACACTGAATGCATTGTTTTTTTTTTGTATAAAGAATTTTCTTTTGTTTTGCAATTGAAGTCTGACACAAAATCTCATTTGATATGTTATTGTTTTGTACGTACTGCATGGTTTTTTTTTCATCGTGTTTCAGAATACAAATTTTTGTCTTTTTTTTGCGCCTACGCTTTTACACTTTTTGTTTTTTTTTTGTCTTTTGGTTAACGGTGCTATTGAGTAGAGGTTTTTTTTCAATGAAAATACATATAATCACCAATGCAATATAATTAATTCATCTTGAATATTATTTTCTTTAAATGATTCTTGTTGAACTTATAATCAGCAATTTGAATTATGCAGCTACCAAAGAACTTTATCGCTGATGAAAATATGATTTAAAAGAAAAAACTAAAAAGGAAAGTTTTCTCATGAGTGGCTACATAATTCTGGACAAGAAAATATTTCTATCAACAGTTTACTTCATTATAATTCTGCAAGAAAAGTGTTGCTGGAATTAAAGTTCTATCGGTTTTATTTGTTCGAAAGTGTTTATGTATGACTCGTTCGCGAGTGTGCATTTTATGATCTGATGTAAGTGTTAAAGTATTAAGATATTTCAAAACTAAAACAACATTAAAAAAATTATGAAAAAGAAAGATTCATCGTTTCATTCATTAACAAAACACAACAAGAAAAAAACATGGCAATCACGTTCATCCTGGAGAAAAAAAACGAAGTGAAAAATACAAAACATCCATATCATGGGAATTAAACTGGAAGAAAAGGATGGTGATGCTATTGTCACCAATGAAGACTAGGTCACACGATTAGGAGAAGAAAAGCGGTGGAATTTTATCCCTCCTAGATTTCCTCTAGCGCTCAATCATTCTGAAAATTTTTGTCAACTGCTGTTTAGCAAATTTCATAATTTTCGATAGCGTAAATATAAAAATGTACAAAAGAAACAGCTTTCTCTCTAGTCTTTCAAAGAGAAGTATTCACTTTGTCCGAAAGAGAAAGTTCTATTCGAAGATTTCATGAAAAATGAGTTATTTTTAATTAAGAGATTACTTTTACTACAGTTTTCAGACGGAATAAACTACTTTCTCCAAAAGAGAAGAGGTTCCTTGTTTAGCACACATTTTCTCCCTGACTTTTTCTCTCTTCTGAATAAAACCAAATGCTAGGTGTGGTGAGGACACTCACAATGGAGGTGTTTGTGTAGTCAGTTAAAAAGACTAGACATATCCGGATCAAATTAAATTTCTCACTGCCAAACTAACAAATTTAAATTATTAGCAGCTGTTAGCGTGCCTGGACAGAGATATTCAATTTTGAAGTTATATACAATCTGTTACCGGATCAAAGATTAATGATAAAGGCCAGCGACTGATGAATTGCTTTAAGCTCAAACTATACAACTCTTCATACAATAATCCAATGAATGAATGAATCCTCCGCTTTTTGAACACCAGAGTGAGAAACATATCTCATGCACTGAGCTACAGAACAGAATATATGGAGATAAAAGACCGAGACACCAATATATCACACTAGCCAGACCTCGTGTAAACTATACGATTAGTTTTTTTAAAGACTATCCTTTAACAGTTATGTACTTGGATATGCAGTCTTTCCTCCTCTGTAATATGTTATGCTCTCCCTATTGTTCATGTTTCATGTGATATATTTTTGTCTTAATCTCTCAGTTCCATATATTCTGTTATGTGGCTCGGTGCATGAAATATGCTTCTCACTCTGGTGTTTGAAGAGCAGAGGATTCATTCATTCATTGGATTATTGTATGAAGAGTTGTATAGTTTGAGCTTAAAGCAATTCATCAGACGCTGGTCTTTATCGTTAATCTTTGCTTTTTGACCCAGTAACAGATTGTATATAACTTTAAAATTTAATATCTCTGTCCAGACACGCTAACAGTTGCTAGTATTTTAAATTCGTTAGTTTGGCAATGAGAGCTTTAATTTGATCCGAATATGTCTAGTCTTTTTAACTGGTAACACAAACATCTCCATTGTGAATGACATCCGCGCAATGTAGTCAGTGCTCGGTGAACACTTTGTTGGTGACAGCACTGATCAGCAAATTGAAGTCGCACATTCCTACGTTTATATCATTATCTTCAAGTTCCTCAGTATTTATCTATCCAAGCTAAACCAAACCCACTTTCGATTTCTTCTCCTATACACAAAGCAATTTTCATTCTAAACCAAAATTCATGCAACTAATTAACACCATAAATTTAACAATACACATAAGAAATCAACAAAATGAATCTTATCAATTATAACAATCCCCAGCAATAATATTGCAATACATCCTACTCATGCATTTAATTTACTGCCATTCTACTGGAATTAGTATTACGAATGGTATCATCTTCTGATCATTTCTTATCACGAGATCCCATCACTCAACATTGCTACTCTCTATTGACTGCACCTTTCCCATCCTTTTAAATAATTTACACTAGTGGACAAAAGTCCGGGTTCTGGCAGATTTCAGCCATGATAGGTGCTGGAGGTCTGAAAATGTGTTTGCGTGTATTTCAGTAGCAATGTAGATCAGTAGCATTACAACATCCTGACTGCTTAATTAGAACGAGAATTATGATGGATAGTACCGACTTGTTGTGTTGAACTTTATAACCTAAAAAACGGCTAATAAATTTTATGCTGTTTCTTATTAAATACATTACTAATTCTTGATATTCTTTCATGGAACTGGATCCTGGCCTATGACCTTTCTTCATTCAAAATATGGGTTCATTTGCTCGAATATTAGAATCTTCGGCTCGTCAGGAGTAACATGATGCTCACCAATACGCCATTCCTTTCTAGTGCAAGATTCATTTCTGAAACTTGTAAGCAATAATGTTCAACAGTAGAGAAAGCTTGTCTAAAAGTTTGAGCTTGGTTCAGTGAACTATAACTTAGTTATTGGTCTCCGAAGAACAGTAGATGCTTTTTCTCCACATCAATAGTCACAGTGATATTATCATAGTTCTGAAAAGAGTTAATACGCTCAAATGAAATTAATGATGTACACAGCTAGGACATGGTGTTACATAATGAGGAGTTGGCTTACACACAACGCCCTCTTCTTTCAGAGTTATAAATTTCAAACCTGAAGTAGGTACCATAGATTATAACACATTTGCTATTCAAGCAATCTGAGTGTAGGCGGTGCTATTAACCTACATTCTTAAAGTGGCATATGCATACTAATTTTCAGACCTCTAGCATCTAAGATGTCTGAGATCCGCTGGGACCGAGACTTTTGCCCACTAGTGTACACAGGACAAGCAAAGAATCATGATCAAATCTATCTAAAAAATGAATCATAGAAATGTGTGGTATGATTTACTTGAATCATTTCATTTCTGTTAATACACCCAAAGCCAGGCTCACATCCTTTTCTCATTTGAACCATAGTCAAATTATTCGATGACTTCCACCGTTATCGTTGGACAAAAGTAAAGTGTGTCCTTCTTCTATAACATGAATCATTGGCGAAGAGCAAACAAAACATGGCTAATGCATATGTTTTTTTCTTTGTTCTTTTTCGCGGAAAGACGATGTGTTTGCGCACGATAATTGTGAGTAACTTTTCTTTTGCTGTAAAATTTCGTTTAGTAACTAGAGAATGACGTGCTTAATTGACTGACAGGCGTTGTTTTTTTTCGAGCTTCGATAAAAACGATGCAGAGTCAATCCTTTGATGGAGCAATGCGGCGAGAATAATAACAACATTATGTATTTTTGGGCGCTACTGCGAAATCTAATTTTCAAGACAGAACTGCGCTGTGTAACAAGCAAGAATGTTAATGGAAGACATTCCTATAAAAGAAAATGTAGTGTGGGTGTGGGTGTGTGTGTGTGTGGGTATGGGTGTGGATGTGGGTGCAGGTGTGACGGTGTTGATGTGAGCGGGTGTACATTTAGGCGCGGGTATGACCATGGATCTTGCATTCATTCACGCTCACACCCACACACATACCCTCTTGTAATCTTCATTCCAGCGTTCATATATGATCAGGCACCGGATGCTCAAATTGATTCATACTGGCCAAATTAATCGATCATTCATGATTCAAGACATGCACAAAAAGTCATCTCAGTTCGAGAACTACAGGTCGAACTTCACCAATCTTTTCGTGTGTATGGCATTGACCAAAAAGGAAACTGTTCTTGCTGTCTCTTTCACAGAAATTATAAGCATACTAATTGGTTCATTTTCTGATTTCGATCCTGATTGCATTTATTGCCTTTTCATGTTCAAATCATAGCGAGATTTCCTTGGTATGGGTGTGGATCAAGAGATGATCCAAATCCAAATCCATATCAACATCAACACACATCCATACTCACATCACATGACACACCCACACACCCTCTAAACTCAGAAAGCACTGGTGTCACCACGTGTCTCTGAGCATCTTCGTATCAGTCACAGGCATACGCACACCACTAATCTATTCCGAGACGTCACACACACATCGACACTATAATTTCAGATATTACATTTTTCGCAAATCAAAGCATATCTCATATCATATGTTTATTGGGAGCGTACAATAAGAGAAGTCTTTGAAAAGCTCTTTTTAAAAACTGATGTCATTTTTTTCTGAATATTTATGGTCCTTGGTAGTAGAGGAATTGTTGGATTCTTGTTCAATGCAGTATTTTCAATGTCAATGGCGGTCTCGGTGTGTTTTTGCAGACAGAATAGCTTGTGATACTTCAGCAGCAGCCACTGGCGCTTCTACGCTGTCGAAAGTGAGATTTTCACTACCCGATGCTAATGATGCTTGGAGAACTTTTGGTTGGTCACCACAGCATTTGCCACAGCATTTAGTACATAATACACGACTACACATAAGACACAGAATGGCAGGCAATGTACATGTAAAACAGGCGGAACATAATAGTGAAAAACCTCCACATT